CTCGTCCCTGCACTGCTCCTGGGGCCAAATAAATATTCGGCAGCTCTGGTGGCCTGGGCCCCCTGCTCTTTGATGGGGGTGGGCAAGGGCTGGGGCCCAAGAGGAAACCTCGTTTCCAGGAATGGGAGGCGCAGGGCAGCGTGAGTGCTGTCTGTCCTGAGCCGCTGAGAGAGCCTGGCCTGGCCCCAGGGACCCTTCACACTCTCACCCGTTCATTCCTCCCTCACCACTCTGAGCCTGAGTTTCTTCTTCTGGAGAATGTTGGGATGATAAAAATTCCTGCCACAGGGTGGCTGTGAGGAGTCGGCGAGAGTTCCTTTGCTGGTCCGTGAATGTATCCACTCGCTTGCTCACCCATGACTGATACCGAGCTTCACACTCATTTCTGCATCCCTTCCTCCCTTTGTGTCTTCCATTCCATATTCCCCGAGGTCTTCTGTTGAGTGCTGGGGCCCCAGAATAGATGCAAACACAGACCTGCACCCCAAGCGACTTACTGTCATCAAGGAAGCAAAGGAAATGCACAGAGCCAGGAAGTAAAATCTCCAGAGGCTGCGAGAGAGGACCAAGTTCAGCAAGGAAATCCAGTGGTTCCAACTTCACCTCTTTCCCTTTTCTTTTCTTTTTTTTTTTTTCTCTTTTTGCTTTCTTTGCCTTCCTTCTTCCTCCTTCTTTTCTCTTTCTTTTCTTTTCTTTCCCTCCCTCCCTCCCTCCCTTCCTCCCTTCCTTCCTCGCCTTGCCTTCCTTTTCTTTCCTTGCCTTCCCTTCTCTTTCCCTTCTGTTCCCTTCCCCTCCCCTCCCCTTCTTTCCCTTCCTTTCCTTTCCTTTCCTTTCCTTTCCTTTCCTTTCCTTTCCTTTCCTTTCCTTTCCTTTCCTTTCCTTTCCTTTCCTTTCTTCTTTCCTTCTTTCTTTACTTTCTTCTTTTTTGACAGGGGTTTTCACTCTTTCCCTAGGCTGGAGTGCAGTGGTTCAATCACAGTTCACTGCAGCCTCAACCTCCTAGACTTAAGGGATCCTCCTGCCCCAGACTTCTGAGTAGCTGGGACCACAGGTGCATGCAACCATGCCTGGCTAATTTTTTATTTTTCCATTTTTGTAGAGATGGGGTCTCACTATGTTTCCCAGGCTGGTTTCAAACTCCTGAGGATCCTCCTTGAGTAGCTGGGACTATAGGCATGAGCCACTGCATCTGACTTCATTGTTCTTTCAAGGAATGCTGGCTTCTAGTCTGTTTCTAGCAAAGATGATTGTTCCATTGGCTTCTACCTCATCTCATCCCATACAGGATTTTGGGTGATGAGCAAAGACCTGTAAGATTTGGCAAGAGGGCCAGGCATGGTGGCTCATGCCTGTAATTCCAGCACTTTGGGGAGCCGATGTGGGCAGACCACGAGGTCAGGAGTTCAAGACCAGCCTGGCCAACATAGTGAAATCCCATCTCTACTAAAAATACAAAATTAGCCAGGCATGGTGGCACACACCTGTAGTCCCGGCTACTCGGGAGGCTGAGGCAGGAGAATCACTTGAACCTGAGGGGTGGAGGTTGCAGTGAGCTGAGATTTCGCCACTGCACTCCAGCCTGGGCGACAGAGTGACACTGTCTCAAAAAAGAAAGAAAGAAAAAATTTGTCAAGAGAACTCTCTGAGCAGCAGATTAAGTGGAGAATGAGAAAAAAAAGTACCCCCACATACTGGAAAAGAAGGCAGCGAACAAACTTGCTCCTAAGCTTCCTGGTAGCCAATAGGAAAAGTGATATTAGAATAGCTACACAGATGATAATGTCCATGAGATTTTAAATTTTTCTTAAAAGGAATTCAGTAACTTTTCATATGTGTGTGTGTGTGTTGGTGTAGGGCATGTCTTTATGAAGACAGCTCTTTATGTTAGTACTATTACTGCCAATAATAAATCTCACAGCAAACTCATGAAATAAACATGATCTTTATTCCCTGTTGACAAATGAGTCCAAACTGTGCTTTATGAGAATTCAGGGAAGGATATGGTGGCTCACGCCTGTAATCCCAGCACTTTGGGGGACCGAGGCAGGCAGATCACCTGAGGTCAGGAGTTTGAGACCAGCCTGGTCAACGTGCTGAAACCCTGTCTTTCTGAAAAATACGAAAATTATCCAGGCATGGTGGTGGGCAGCTGTAATCCCAGCTACTTGGGAGGCTGAGGTAGGAGAATCACTTGAACCCCGGACCTGGAGGTTGCAGTGAGTTGAGATCGTGCCATTGCACTCCAGCCTGGGCAACAAGAACAAAACTCAGCCTCAAAAAGAAAAAAAAAAAAAAGAAAAGAAATCCTTTGAATCACATAGCCAGAAAGCCTGTCGCTAAATTCTGGGACTGATTTAGATGATGACAATGGGGTCCTTGGGTCCCTGTCTCAACTAGAAAGCAGAGTTGTAGGAAGAATAAAACAATTACAAATGGCAGTCCACACTGGGACAAAAATGTAAAAGGGCTGAGATAATTTAGGGAGGGTGATCAGGGCAGCCCTCCTGAGGAGGTTCGATCTGGGCCATAACTTGAATGACAAAAAGGAATGAAGCTTGCAAAGGTTAGGGGGAAAAACAGTGGAATATTATTTGGTCATAAAAACAGAAGGAAACACTGATTCGTGCTTCAGCATGGATGAGTCCTGAAAGTATTATGTCAAGTGGAGGAAGCCAGACACAAAAGGCTGCATATTGCAGAATTCCATCCATAAGAAATCTCCTGAACTGACAAATTCATAGAGACAGAAAGTAGATTCCTGGTTGCCAGGGACTGAGGAAAGAGAAATGGGGAGATAGATGGGATACTGGTTTTCTTTTTCTTTTCTTTTCTTTTTTTTCTTTTTTTTTTGAGACGGAGTCTCGCTCAGCCGCCCAGGCTGAAGTGCAATGGCGCATTCTCGGCTCACTGCTAATTTTCCTATTTTTTTAAGGTAGAAACGCGGCTAGGCTAGTCTCCCAACTCCTAACATCGAGTGATCTGCCCACCTCGACCTCCCAAAGTGCTGGGATTACAGGCGTGAGCCACCGCGCCCGGCCGATTTACCCTTATTTTAATGCAGTGCATTTAACTGTACGATTACGGCATTTACGTGTAATTTTTTTTGTTGTTCATGTCATAAGGGTCATGTGCCGATGTCGTAACAAGATTTGAGGAAGGCGCATCTCACACATGCGCGTGAACACCCAATCATCTCGCTTAGAAACTACAAAAGGATCTAGCTGTAAATTTAAATTATTACTGCTTGTGCTAACAACCAGCTCGCAAGAGTCCTGAATTTGTAATAACCTGCACCCCGGTGGGCAGTTCCGTGTGGTAGAACCCATGCTAGGCTGGGGCGGGGAGGGGGCTCAGAGGTCTGCAGTCTAAAGTCTAGATACTTCACTTTATTTGGATTGATAAAAGTTCAGTTACGTACGAGCAAAGGGAGATGGAAAAAAGAAAAAAGTAAAAAACAAGAAATAAGATTAAGCTCCTTTCTCTCTAAATTTGAATCAGCCCAGGCCTCGCCCATTCCAGAAATTTGGACTGACCCTGACTCCGCCCCAACCTCTTCCAGCCCCGTTCCTTCCCGCCCCGCCAGTGTCGTCGTCATGACAACCGCGTCCACCTGGCCTCTACTGCTAGGGGTGGGGAAGCCTGGTCCTTAGTGTTCCCATTGGCCAAAAGTTTGTAGCGGGCGGACCTCGCTAACTCTCATTGGTCAGTTGCCCGCCGAGGTGCCAGCCCTCATGCACCCATTGGTCCATTGATCGAAAAGGGCGGGGACTCTGGCCAGCGGTTGTGGAGGGTCGTGGGTCCACAGTGCTGCACTGAGCAGAGGGGAAGGGGCGTCCCAGGATATTTGGAGGATAAAGGTGTGGGTAGGGTATCATGTGGAGGCCAAGGGGAGCGAAGTGAGGGGCGGTGAGAGGGGAGCGGGGTGAGCAATGTGTGGGATTCCCAGAATGTCTTTTCCGCAGGGTGATGACCACACCTGCCGGCTCCGGCATGGGCTTCGGCTCGGTGTCATGGTGGGGCCTGTCCCCGGCGCTGGACCTGCAGGCTGAAAGTGAGTCCCAGCACGCACGGTCTGATACACCGCTTGCCTTCCCAGCCTGCGCAGGCAGCCTTTCAGAGCTCGTAGTCCCAGCGTCGGTAGCAGGGGGCGCGCTAACGTTCTCCAGGGCTCCAACGGTGGAGGGCATGCCTCCAGGGCAGGGCCGAGGTCCTGTGTGCGGACTACGAATCCCAGAATGCTCGGAGGAATCAACTTCCCTTAGAACCTGGGCCACGGGCGCGTCGCCTACTGGGATTTGTAGTCCATTGTTGTAGGGGGATGCTACGGGGGACGCTCTGGCGACCACCATGGTGCCCCTACCTGCTGTCATCTTCCCAGGTCCTCCTGTGGACCCAGACTCCCAGGCCGATACGGTGCATAGCGTCCCCGAGCTAGATGTGCTGCTGCTGGGCTCTGTGGATGGGCGCCACCTGCTGCGGACCCTGTCCCGAGCAAAGCTCTGGCCTCGCAGGAGGTTCAACGTGAGCTGGGATGAAGATGAGACCCCAGATTCCCGAGTCCTTGAGGGAGGAGGGGATTGGAATTCTAAAAACCTCAGGTCCAGGAATGAAGGAGCTGGAGACTCCTAGATCTGAGGGAGGTGGAAGCTGGGAGAGCCCATGCGTCTTGGGGAAGGAAGGGACTGGGGTTTGGAACTCCTGGGTTCTGTAGGCGGGGAAGAGCTCAAGGATCAGGTCTTCTGAGGAATGGAAGGGAAGAGAGCTCTGGGGACCCAGACTCCTATGCTTGAAGGAAGAGGCCAGTGTACAGAACTCCTGGGCGTGTGGAAGGAGAGGGCTGAGGGCCCACTCTCCTGGGTCTGCTAGGGCCCAGGCAAGCAGGTCTCAGAATTTTTCTGCCCTGTCCATCCTTCTAGTTCTTTGTCCTGGAGAATAATCTGGAAGCTGTGGCCCGACACATGCTGATCTTCAGCCTAGCCCTGGAGGAACCTGAGAAGATGGGCCTGCAAGGTCAGTTGCTAGGACCCAGGCATTCCAACTGCCGGTTTCCTCCCCCTCCCTAGAAGGATTCTGGCATTTCGATGGTACAATTTATTTATTTATTTTATTTATTTATTTTTTTTGAGACGGAGTTTCGCTCTTGTTACCCAGGCTGGAGTGCAATGGCGTGATCTCGGCTCACCGCAACCTCCACCTCCTGGGTTCAGGCAATTCTCCTGCCTCAGCCTCCTGAGTAGCTGAGATTACAGGCACGCGCCACCATGCCCAGCTAATTTTATGTATTTTTAGTAGAGACGGGGTTTCACCATGTTGACCAGGATGGTCTCGATCCTTGATCCACCCGCCTCGGCCTCCCACAGTGCTGGGATTACAGGCTTGAGCCACCGCGCCCGGCTCGATGGTACAATTTAAAAATTTGGTTATTTTCCCGGGAGGCGGAGGTTGCGGGGAGAGGAGATTGTGCCATTGCACTCCAGCCTGGGCAGCAAGAGCGAAACACCATCTAAAAAGAAAAAAATTCAAATATATTTATTAATCATTGTCCCCTATGATATAATTTGTCATCTTAGAGCCTCAGCTTCTCCCACCTGTAAAATGGGGCTAAATATAATATATCTTAGAGCCACTTAGAAAATTCCAGTTTGGCCAGTCGCAGTGGCTCACGTCTATAATCCCAGCACTTTGGGAGGCTGAGGCGGGCAGATTGCCTGAGCTCAGGAGTTTGAGATCAGTCTGGGCAACACGGTGAAACCGTCTCTACTAAGATACAAAAAAATTAGCTGGGCGTGGTGGCACATGCCTGTAATCCCAGCTACTCAAAGGCTGAAGCAGGACAATTGTTTGAACCTGAGAGGTGGAAGTTGCAGGACAGTTGTTTAAACCTGAGAGGTGGAGGTTGCAGTGAGCCGAGATCATGCCACTGTACTGCAGCCTGGGTGACAGAGCAAGACTGTGTCAAAAAAAAAAAGAAAAAAAAAAAAATTCCAGGAGAGGCTGGGTGCGGTGGTGCTGTGGTTCACACCTGTAATCCCAGCACTTTGGGAGGCTGAGGCAGGGGACATCACTTGAGGTCAGGAGTTCGAGCCCAGCCTGGACAACATAATGAAACCCTGTCTCTATCAAAAAATACAAAAATTAGCCAGGGGTGGTGGCATGAGTCTGTAGTCCTAGCTACTTGGGAGGATGAGGCATAAGAATTGCTTGAACCTGCCGGGCGCGGTGGCTCAAGCCTGTAATCCCAGCACTTTGGGAGGCCGAGGCGAGTGGATCACGAGGTCAAGAGATAGAGACCATCCTGGTCAACATGGTGAAACCCCGTCTCTATTAAATATACAAAAATTCAGCTGGGCATGGTGGCGCATGCCTGTAATCCCAGCTACTCAGGAGGCTGAGGCAGGAGAATTGCCTGAACCCAGGAG